ATATCTTTTCCGTCCTCCTTTCTTCTAAACTCAACTTTTTTCCTACCACGCCAAACCTTTCAACATTTTTTCAAGCTGGTACAACTGTTTTACCATAAAAACCAGACTTTTTTCACCGTAAAGATTACCTTGAAACATTTCAACGAAGCATAGTATAATGCGAGTCAATGATTGTTCTTCGTCTCCATCAAGGTTCTGACAGAAAGACTTATAATTATGGTTATAAATAAGTATTTCGCTTTTAAGCGCAGTGTCTCTCTAACTGCTTTAATCGCAGCATTCCATATTATATTTATATTTATATTTATATTTATATTTATATTTATATTTATATTTATATTTGTATTTGTATTTATATTTATATTTGTATTTGTACATGGGCCGTTCCATGCCAAGTAGCACAGATTTTGCCTACTTGTAGCACTTGATACTGGGTTTTAAAATTGAAAGAGATTACCTGAAAAAGTGCGCTGACCTCAAAACGAGACTGTTCTTAGGTGCGAAAAAAATGCAATTCGCACTCAGCACGCTTACCTTCAAGAACTTTTCTTTCTCTCACTTCGCAACGGATTTTCCTCGTTTTTGCTTTGTTTGAAAGCTTGTCTTCTGAAAAATGTTGAAACGTTTACATTAACAAATTTTTTTCAGATTAAAATAGAACCAAAAATTCAAAATGCTCTTTCTCAAGAAGCAACGCTTTAAATTTTTTCACAAAGATATATGTTTTAAAGAAATAATTTTTGCCCAAAGCACAATAATTGTAAAGTGGTATCTTTTTGGTATCAACAGTTACGGTGCAATTAGCGACAGCAAACTGGAGAAAACCCCTAACTGAAGCAGCATTTTAGCGCTTTCGCAAGTGACGGAACCTCTGTTTTAACTAAAAATTTTACTAATTGTAATAATACATGTAATTCTTGAAAAACTCTTCAACTCTGCTACTTTAGCGACAAGCACTTACTTGAAATTTAGTTACTTTTAAACAGTTTTCCAAAGGTTTTAGAAAAAATTATTAGTATGATTACTTCGGTTTGTATCGCTTTACTTGCCAATTGAACTCGTCTAGCTCGAGTATTTCACAATTAGTACTGTTTTTTGACATCGGATATAGTTTTTCTGTTACTTTCGCAGCTGTGCATTAATTTTAGACTTTGAGGCGTATCAAAAAGACTGGCAAGAAAGATACACTTTACAGTCTAAATCCTAACTCAAAATGACCTTTACAAATAGCCTCCGAACTAATGAAAAGATCCTAGTAATTCCAGTACTTTTAAAAGAATATGAAAGGAAAGGATCACTTCCAGCAACGCGTTTTTGCGTAGATTCACCAGTCAAATGTATAAAATATTTTACTGCATTATACTAGAAAACGCTGAAAACAAAAATAGCAAAACAATACCTGAAGTCAGAAAAACAGTATTGAGTGTGATCTATTTATTATGTTAGAAGGGTTACATAAGCAAGCAAAGTAATAAAGACAGAAAAAGTAATCATAACAGTAGTTTTTTTTCAAAAAAAACTTTGTAAAATTGTTTGAAAGAAATTAAATTTTGACTAACTATTCGTCACTAAAGTAGTAGATTTGAAGATTTTTTACAAGAATTATATATATTATTACAAGTAATAAAATTTTAGTTGGAACATTTTCTTTCACTTGTGAAAGCGCCAAAATGCTGTTTTAATTAGGGTTTTTTTCCGGTCTGTTGCCACTAATCGCACGGAAAACTTCTGATACCAAAAAGATACCACCTTACAATTTTTATATGTTGTGCAAAAATTATTTCTTGTAAACATGTGTCTTTCTCAAAAAATTTAAAGGGTTGTTTCTTGAGAAAGAGCGTCTTAAATTCTTGCTTTTATCTTAACCTGAAAAAAATTTGTTAATGTAAGCGTTTCGCCACTTTTCTGAATCTGCAAGAGACAGTCTTTCAAACGAAGTAAAATGAAGAAAATCCTTTTGAAATAGAGGAAAATACAAGTTCCTAAAGG